AATCCTTATGTCCTATTAAAGATTGACAGATCATGTCCTCACTCATCTCTTCCCTGAATGACATCTGCTTTTCATGAATGTTGCTTGTTATTGAGGAATTGCAGTTTATTCACCTGTTGACCTGGATGCCTAAAATGTAAACGCCAGGAGAAAAAGGTTTTTTAGTGAATTCACCCTCGATCACACGTTGAGGCCAACAGAAAGAGAAAGGAGGCGCGTTTGTTTTTGTGCTGTTTTTGCTGGGGAGGACGGTGCAGTAGTTTAATATTCAGGAAAGCTCTCTCAGCCGGGGTCAGTGTTGAGGTTCAGCGGCTGCAGAGTCCAACAGGTATTCAACATTTAGCTCCATTTTCCTCTGAGCTGTCTGTGTTTGTGCTCCGCTGGTCACACCTACAGCGGCGTCCACTCTTAAATGCCAAACCTCCGCTGAGGAAAAGTGGCCCGGTGTTTTTAATCTGCGGGTTCTTTCTCTCTCTCTCTCTCTTTGTGGAGTGTTACCTCAGCGAGGTTGTGCTCTCACCACACATTATCTCCTCAGGGATTACAGCACTCAGCAGTGGAGAGCCGTGCCTCTCATTTCACCTCTTCAGATTCACCTGCTTTTCACGCTGAGGAGTCCCACCACCCACAGTAACAAGTGTCTCCGAAGCCAAGGCCTGCAATGACAAAGATTATCAGGAGGAGTTTCAGAGGACCAAAGAGCTGGAGGCCTTCTGATGATTGTCAAATAGCTGGACCACATTTAAAACAGTGAAATTGAATATGTATGAAGCTCAGAACCACTCTGTTGACTAATGATGGAATAGTTAAAGTGTAATATGACAACTGCTACAAGAAGCTGTCCTGCACAGAGTTTAGACTGAGATAGATCATTTTACCATCACAAAGAGCTACGGTGTCACTGAGATTAAGATTGAAGCATTCTGATGTTAACAAGCAGCTGGACTAAATATTAACAGACTTTAAAACTCTTAATTTGAATATCTGAAACTAAAGTTATAATCCTTAAAGCTACTTTAACTGATTTTCTCTTCTGACAACTAATATATTATTACCTCATAAAATTGTTATGCTGGATTTGTCTCAAACATTTGCCTGTTTGGATATCCAGCAGATACAGAGCAACATTAACATTTATTCATTCATTTTCTGGCCAATATTTAGCTCTGTTTTTGGTCTCCACCACCTCCTTTGGCTGGTTTTACAGCTTTTCCCTTTTTGTCTGCTGCTCCTGTAAGCCAGGTTGACGAGAGAAGTGAGACTGAACTAAAAACATTAAAATTGTAGTAAAGCCAGCACCAACAATTATGTAAAAAGAGGCTAAAATTCTCTGTAGAGCTGAGGGGAAGAGCTGAGTTTGTTGATCATTTATTTACTGGTGTATTTAATAGTGCACATTAATAAATATTGCTATAAATGCCTCCGGACTAAAGAGGCCATTTTTCATCTGTAGTCCCCGGTTACAAAGTTACACTAAAAACAGAATATCATTCTGTTTGAGGTCATTACTATCCATGACCTCTTTCACATTACAAGTAATCATGCAATCCTTTAGCAGCTTTAATATTTTAATTATATCAAACCCCATGTCTGATGCTATTTGTGGCCAGCATTTTTTTTGCAGTAGCTGTCCTTTGTATTTGCCTCTATTTTTCATTGTTACTAGTATAGCAGAGTCTGGGAGTTAAAAAGCATAACCATACAGAAGGGATTCACAGGAAGTGATACATATACTGGATGAGAGATGGAAGACAAAAGCTGATGCAGGTGGTTATTGCACATAATGTGGAACAGTGGTCGCACAATGGCGGTGACTTTTTTTTAATCTTTAGTATTCTTTATTTATAACCAGTGTGACATATCCTCTCAGCTGATCCCTGTCGCTTCTCCCTGTTTGACCCATATTTGTGTCATTTCAAATGGAACTGGGACCTGTACAAAATTAAGACACTTGCTATAACCACGAGTAACCACAGGTGTCATCATTCATTGGCTTATCGCAAGCATTTAATGAACACAGCTTTTTTTTGTCACTTGCATATTGCTGATAAATTTGCGAGTCCATCGAGGCTCTCACATGCTTGTGTGTGGGTTGCGAGTTGCAAATTTGATAAGCCGGGCACCAGGGTGAAAATGGATGTTTAGGATGTTTGTCTTTAAAGGTGCTATGTGTAGTCAGTCATTACCACATCTATAATGAGACATAACATAACAAGATAAAAATAACTGTTAATGTGGACTGTAGACTGTTATTTTGAGGGCATACTCCCGCCTCTACAATGTGTTTAATTGCCTCCATATTGGCAGGAAACCAGCTGAGAGACTTTTACAGTAACAGTTCTCTGAACACTGTAATTATACCAAGATATCACAGTTCAGCTAGTGAAACCACATTAATGATTTAAATGAAAAATGTTGCAATTTTAATTTCATGCCAGTTACTTTAACTAAGGATAAATAACAGTGCTGCTGTGGAATCTGTCTGATCAGCTTGTTAAAGACCCAGGTTAAAAAAAGTGCCCAATAATTGGAGTGTTCTTCCTCTTTAAAAAGTGAAATCATCAGTCTGTGGAGGATGTTGAGAGGCAGATGAAGACCTTGAGTTGTTGAGGTGAAGTACACTAATGTTGACAGAGTAATCGAAGCTAAAGCCTTGTTGTCAGAGCTGTGGGCCGAGATCGGACCGCAGTGTGAATCATAGTAATAGGCTCTTGTCTCAGCGGTGGAGAACAACATCCATTAACAGAGAGGCTTCAGATGGAGGCAGCGTTAGTTTGGCTTTAACTTACAGTTCGGAGCTGGAGAGGAAAACCATGAATATTTATTGAGCTGATGTTCATGAATCTGTGTGTGTGTTATTGTGTGAGATATAATTACACTGCTCAGACCTCAGAACATCTCATAAAACAAGCATTCATTTCTACTGTGACTTTTTACTGTTTACTGTGTTTTCTCAGTGTAATGTAAATTTAACAAACAAATGAAATAGCTGCTCCTGTGTAATGCGGTGCAGATGCCAATTAAAACAAGCTAAATTACTGTTAATCATTGTGGTATGTATAACATATAATGGGTTTATTTTTTGCAGCCGATCGTCCATAAACCATTAAAGTGTGTGAACATGCAGGTTTCCTCTGACAACACTGATCCCTCTCCATCAGTATCCGACCTGCAATGAGCCAGTCAGGACGCCATTCATCTCCACAACATGACATGATTACAATGTTCATTTATCCATCTAGGCAGAATTACACCATTAATTCATCCAACTGCACATTATTACACTGTTCATTCATCTAATATGGTGCCATTACAGCTGAAAGACCTGTTTCCACCAGGGGAACATTAAGCTTCCTTCTCAGTGATTAGACTCTGCTCTGCCACTCATGTTGTAATAGTAAGGGACTCAAAAACTGTTTTTTGTTAATGTCACTTAAAGGATTAAGAAAACTGCAACCTTTGCTCTCATGAAACAATAAAAACCTGACTGAATAAACTCTGAAACCTTGCACCTGAAAAGCTTGGATAATTTGGAGGCACAAGACTTTCATCTCACACCATCAGTGAGCTCCCATCCTGCTGTTTCTACCAATGCAACAGTTTTTCACTCAGTGTAAGAGACAGAGAATAATCCATCTCCTGCTGTGTCTGATATTGTGGTATCCTCAGTGTGGTTTTTACTGTTGACCTCTGCTCTGTAAACCACTCAGCTCTCGAGAAGAGTTTGGACGCTTCGCTTCAAGTGCTTTTTTGATTTATGATTTTCTCTCATGCTAAGAGACGAGACGTTCCTGCATCAACCTGTTGTGAACTTACTTACTGCTCAATGAGAGACTGGAATGTAAAGTCAAAGGCCAGTTTTCACTGAGCTGACCTGCAGCTGGAAGATAAAAATGCACGACTACTCTTCTCTCAGCTACTCAGAGATTTTTCCTGAGGCTAAAAGATGTGATGCGCCTGCCCAACAACATCTGCTATTCTGTTTTTCTGACCCTCTAAGCACTGTATCACTCAGAGGAAGTGTTGTAGTACCTCTATCCAACTATTTATACTTTTCCGAGTCTCTTAAATTAGTTTCTTTCCCTCTGAACGGATGTATCTATGAGGTTACAAAGTTGTATGTGGTCTCAAATATGTGAACATTTGCTTGAAATCTCTGCAAACCAACTGGTTTCTTATTATTTCTTTTTATTGCTAAAAACTCTGCAGAAATGGCTGAAACAACATAGCTGAATTGTGACTAATATGACTAATAATTAATGCTTTTGTTTAGAGCTGAAAAGATTAGTTGAATAATCCGTTTTTTGATTGAGAAAGAGAAGAATAACCTGCAACTATTTTGATAATTAATTCCTTTGATCAATTTTCCAAGCAAAAGAAAAAGGTGAAAAAATGACACATATCAAATGTTTTTTTTGTTATTTATGATTAGTAAACTGAACACCTTTGGGTTTTGGACTTTTGATCTGACAAAATAAGACATTTGAAGATTCTGCAAAGCTGTGATCGTCATTTTTTTTCTTTTTGAATTCACTGATGATTTGAAAAAATAATCTGCAGATTAGGCTGACTCACCAGATGTAGGCTGTAAGTATAAGCCTGCCATTGGCGATTGTTCAAGGCAGCATTCTCCTCCACTTCCCCTGCCTGTTACTGTTTTCAAAATCCGCTTTGCTGCAGGAAACAACAACAACCTCCGAACGAGCAACCTACACGCTGAAAATGGCAAGTTTAGATGAAGATTTGGATTGCGCAATCACACAGTTAACATGCGCCTTTGACTTAATAAGAGAAACTATTGGTGAAGCTGAATTTAAAGAGTGGGAAAGAAACGGTAAAGAAATATTCAGAGCCTTGACAACAGATGTGACAAATTGTCCCAACTCTCAAATTAAAATATATGTGACAGAGAAAATATTTGATTTAAAGATGACAGTTTTAGATAAAGCACTTTTAAAAACATAACTTAACAAGGTGTGTTTTGTTTCTGCCTCTCACAGAGGTGTGTGACAGCGCACTGGTGTCCAATCTGCCGCCATCGTCCTTCAGGAGCTCCTCCCAGCTGTCCAGCAGCCACGCACCGGGCTTCGCCAAACTCAACAGGAGAGAAGGTGAGGAAGAATTTCCATTGTCAAATTTGATGCAGGAGTGGATAATGTTGTGTTTGACCTGGGTAATATAACAGAACTGACCAGACTGGATACATAATTGGGCAGACTGGAATAATGTTTATAATGCTTCTGTATTTTTTCCAAGAGGAGATTGAACTGTTTCTTTACTATGGTTTACATGAGTCTAACAGAGACAATAGAGAGGACGCAGAGCCAAATTTCTCATCTGTCACTGAGGAGCTGCTTTGTGGCTGTGGGTCTCAGGGGAGTAGAGACTTTGTTTAAGCTCAGAACACAAAACAAAACAAACAGGAAAGTTTTTAGTGGATTCACAAAGACTTACAGGTAACTCACAGGTGACCAGTTTAGAGGGAGACGGAGGATCAGAATAATTTCAGAGAGACAAGACAATCTAAAAGAGAGAACAAGCAGTAGTTGCTTTGTCCCGTCTTTGTTCTCTATAGGGGCCGTTTGTATTGAGGGTTTATGCCAGAAGGATAAATGTGAAAGGTGTTTGTTCGTCCAGCATGGAAACCCAGCAGGGAGTCCTGTGCTGGATGCTGATGTGAGCCTTTGACAAAATGAAGATGATGGTTTGTTGTGGAGATTTCTGCAGGGAACAGGCTTCGCTGCTTTATCCTGACATCAAAGCCCAGAATCAGATGGGAGGGTGAGACGAGTTTAATCTGGATCTGAATGATTTTCACCACCTGGGAAACTGAAGGAAGATGAGCCGGCAGAAAACTGTAGTCCTTGGTTTGCTGCTTGAGACTTTAAATACAGTGTATTTGCTGCTAAATGCTGCCAGCCTCTCTCTCTCTGTTTGCTCATCTGACTTTGTGTTAATGGACTGATGAGACTCTTTACTGTGGTAATAATACACGACAAAATTAAACTCTCCAAAGTCTGAAGTGTAGTAGAATAATCAGATTTACATCCAGGACTAGACATTTCATACTGTCAGTGCTAAGAAAAGAAGGGTCGGAGGTTGCAGCGATACTGTAGCTCAGGTAGTAGAGAATGTAAGAGCTAAATTTCATTGGTGTCCTTTGCTGACACTTGCTGACACTTGCTGGTCTAAAGCCACGCTGCTTCAATGCTGCTGACATTTCTTGGTCTTTCATTAACTGCAGTTAAAACTCTTTAATGAAAACTGTGAACTGTGACTATTTTTATAGTATAGTTTTACAAGAAGTTCTTCTTTACTTTTTACTTCTTTATTACTTCACAAAGGCTGACGAACACTTAAAATGCCTTGAAAAACTTCCTTTGAACAAAAAAAAAAAAAAAAGGTAAACGTGTTTTTCTGAAGTTAGAGCAGTTCGTGACACAGGCAAGCAGTCCAGACAGGGAGCAAGTGAAAATTCAGAACCAGAGAGAGCAAGCTAAGTCAATAACCATGGAATCAAACATTAGGAGAAACTGCTAGTGAGCTGCACACACACAAGGTAACAAAGACAATGTGGCAAAGGGGAAGAGGAAACACCAAGAACACCAGGGGCATGTGAGTAATTATAGGCAGGTGTGGATGATGAAGGGCGGAAGACACATGAAGGCAGGAACTGAAATGACAAGTCCTGCAAGTATTTCAAAATATAACAGGTAACAGTGACTTAACAGATGAGACGTGACAACAATAGATTTGAGAGAAATCTATCATAATAGGGACAGAAAAACAATACTCAATAGACCAGAATGCATTTTGAGGAAGTATCTTTCTGCTACCAGGCTTTTTGTACATATACATATAGCAAAGCATGTCAGCAGTAAAAGGACTTAGTTAGTTGAAATGTAAATTACAGTAGAAGGAGACAGCAGTCCACCACCAGGACACCAAGTAGCAGATTGCCAGTACTATGAAAGACTACATGAATATGAACATGTAATATATGTACTGATAAATTAGACTTTGGTGTATCCAGAGGGGTTGATGTTGAACGATTAATAGTGGATCAAATTTTTTACTTTAAATTACCTTATCACAAAATACATGGGACGTAATAGAAAACAGATTGTCAATATCTTACTGCATGATATTTTAGATGGATTTTTGCTTCATCAGCACATACAGTGGCTTAACAGTCACTGCAGAACTGCTGCAATATCCATATATTTTCCTTATCTAGCTCTAGTATGTAGTCTGCAGATTAGGAAGCTGTGTGTGTGTCACATTTCCTCCTTAGCAACATTCATGGTGCAGGATCCTAGGGAGCGATCCCAACTGCTTTGCTGAGGAAATCGATGAATAAATGAATGTCTCCATCTCATTTCCATCTCCTGCTGCTAACACTCTGCCTCCTCCTGTTGTTCTCTGAGGAGTAGCTTCGCTCTCAATTCATTTACCCACTAAGTGAACAGAGATTATCAGAGTCTGGGAATACCACCTACACAGCACCTTTTACAAGGGATTTAATCAGAAAGTCTTGCAGCTGGAATCTATAACTTTACTCACATTCAAACCTCATGGTAATTGATATCTAGTGAGAATCACCCAGGTACTGCGTATATCAACATATTATTAATGTTACATGAGAGTGATATCCTTGTACCAAAATTGATGATATAAAACATACTGATATGAATCTGTAGCAGGAAAATTGTTTGTGTACAAAACAAGGTATAAACATATTGGATGATGGTGGCAGATGAAAACTTAAAGGATCACCAATGTTATTACAGTTAATCCTCAGGTGGGCATAAATGTCATAAACAAGAATTACAGCAATCCATCCAACAGTTGTTGACACATTTCACTGAAAACTACAAATGTTAATCTCATGGCGACACAAGAGGAGAAGTCAGGAGATCATTAAAGTCATGAGGACTTATCCTCTGGAAACCATGCATAACCGTGCAAAATTAGGGTGCCAGTTGGGCTAGTTTATGTTGACATATTTCACTAAATAAGTAAAAACTTTGAACTGGTGTTCTCATCAGTGGAAAAGTCAGAGGATCACTGAAGTCCTGTGGATTCTTCCTCAGGGGACCATGAAAGTCTGTACAAAATTTCATAGAAATCCATCAAATAGTTGTTGAGAAATTTCAGTCTGGACCAGAGTGGCGGACAGACATACTGACATTGCCATCCATAAAGCTAGAGGACTAAAAGGTCCATGGACACTACGAGAATAGAAGATGTCTGAAGACACATGCTGACTAAAAATAACGTTGTAAAAAAACTGACGCCATGCTTGAGGGAAACAAAAACCTCTTGTAACCTATTTTCTCCACAGACAGCAGGCACTTGATAAAAACCCAGCGGTTGTCCAGTCTCTGTCTACAGTGAGACCAGAGGACGTGACATTGTACCTCAGACTTTAACCTGACAAGGCTGATCACAGTGTAGGTCTGATGGCTCTGACACTGACAACAGAGGTGGATAAAAAGCCATGATAGTCTATTGACTGGCGATGAATGGCCTTTTAAGAGGATACTGGAGGATGAATGACTGGACTATTTCACTCTCCCCGATGGTCTCTCTTCTTCTTTATTTTGATTCCCCCTCTGACTTTTTTCTTTCATTACTCTACTGAATTCGTCCTCTCTTTCTCTCAACTTCGTCTGTCCACTTCCACTCTTCCTTTATCTAAATTGTACCTGTCCATCTTCCTGTCCTTCTGTACAGTCTGTCCTGTGTTATAATCATTAGTTTCACTCCGTCTGCAGTCGCTTTTTCATTTTCACTGGTAAGAACTAATTTTGTCAGCTCTGTCTTCTTGCCAAATGTTAATAGCAGCGTCCATGTTTAAACATTTTCTTTCTTTGGTAGGCAACGCTGACAGTTATCAGTGACGCCACTGCAATCATGCTGGAATGGACTTTGAAAGAAGTCCACAGTAATCATTTTGTCAAAGAGTGAAATTTGAAGGTGGAATTAAACTTTAATTGGAGACTGTAAGTTGGGAGCAAGTGTGAAAGAATGACAAGTTATTCAAGAATTGATCTTTATCTTGTGTTATGTTCAGTATTCAGTCATTACAGTTCAATTTCAGAAAGACTCAATTTCACTTTTGAAAACAACACTTGCATTTCTATGGACTATCTTTGTGCATGCAATTATTTTATTGTCCTGGTCACATGATTCCAGTCAAAGTAACTGCAATAAATGACCTACTACCTATTATTACTTCTCATCCCTAATCTCCATCCATCCATCCCTTACCAATACCACTTATCTTTTGGGGGTTGCAGGGGGGCTGGAGACACTCCCAGTTGACATTGGGCGTGAGCCGAGGTAGACCCTGAACAGGTCGCCAATCAAGGTCGCCAATCAAGGTCACCAATCATGCACGCTCACATTTGCACCTACAGGCAATTTAGAGTTGCCAATTAACCTAAACTGTAGCTCCTTTGTCTGTGGGAGAAAGCTGAAGGAAACTCACCAATGCATGAGGAGAACATAAAAACTCCATACAGAAAGTTCCTGGCCAAACCAGGGTTCAAACCGAGCACTTTCATGAGATATATATATATATATATATTCTTAAAAGTACTTGGCCAAACAATGACAATACCAAAGACACATTTTTTTTTAAATTAAATTAGATTGGTTTAATTCTTGAACTGAGTAAAAACATTACGTTGTCTCTAAATATATGTTTGTAATATTAGTGTGCCAACTGTGCAATTACTTTTTCAGTTAGATCCAATGTCCTACTAAGGCATATGAAGAACAGTTACATTGAAAAAAGTTTTATAATCTTTAATGCAAATTTTTCTTTACAACAAAATTTATCATGGATATGAAAAAATAAGATTTAATCATCCTAAAATAAGATATTTTGACTTTTCTGCCCATTTTGCAGTGTGATATTTAGAAAAATGGAAATCTTTCCTGCTTTGTCTGCAGAGAACCTGCAGTGTTCTCCAGCCTGCTGCTGCTGTCAGAGCAGCACTGAGCCCATTAGCTTCCTGTTGGATTCTCTGTCCGACTGACATGTTATCAGGCTGCTGAAATTACCCTCTAGACTTTGTATTCTCATGCAAATGACCAGTGCTCA